GGCGCGCAGTAGATTCATCCGGCACTTTGCACTGTGTATCCTCTATGACGTTTCTCACAGTGGGATTGGTTAGTTTCCACAGCGGAATATCTGCCGCTAAAAAGGCTTCGCATAAATCAAAGGAAAACTGTGATAAACTATTATTAGAAAATTCACTAAGCAATTTTTGAACAGGAGCACTTTTCGTGGATTTAATTTTAATATTCTCTTTGTGTATATTAGTGTTCAAATGCTGAAGCACTTGAAAGCGTTTTTCACAACCAACTGTTTTCTCACACGCTCAGCAATAAAGAATTTCGTTATCCATACTTATCATCTCTCCTTCGAACTCCCGCTGATACAGCTGTAATTTAGTTTCCTGACTTACTTTCACTTTCGGCACGACTACAGAAAGCTAAACAAACTTAACTACACACTAGTCACCACTAACGTGAATGGCCCCAGCTTCAAATGAAGAAGCGTAACGAACCTCATGGAGACTTCGGAAATAAATAAGTGAAGTCCCATATCGGTTGAATAGTATTACACTGATAGCAGCTACATGTGGACACTTCCGACTAATCTCTTCGCTGCCACTTTGATGGTACGCGGATGAGGCAAGTTACGAGCACAGGGATCGAGGAAGTCCCGTCCTGGGTATTGCATCAGAAACATGAATCATGATGAAATGTTGAGTCAAATATGCAACATATTCTAATAGGGAAAAGAAAAATTGTATACACATGACCATAATTGAAAACATAAAATTAAAATATATTAAAACATTTTAAAAGGAAAATATGCAGTATAAATAGAGATCTTCGAAAATATGATGCTTATTCATAAAACAGGCAAAATATGCATTTATATACACCATCAAATCATGTCCAAAATTTAAGAAATGAAGTAATTCATACATATATCCAAACGAGCATACTTTCTAGTTGCAAGAAAGAAATATGCATTTGCATTAAAATCCGGTCCCTACTTATAAGGTACGTAACATACAGACGTGACCATCATGTATAATGGAAAGCAAAAAGCTGCTTCAGTTTGCTTTGCTGATAAGCTTAATGGAAAGTGAGGACAATTATTACAATGTTAAAAAAATTCATACCCTTAAAATAAAGTCATATTGCAGCAAATGACTCTCAGTTATTGCTTACGGGAACACTGCAAAGATTCCAAAGTCATTCAAATGTTAATTATATGCTATTTTGTACTCTACCTGAGCTAAACAGACAATATTTGCTCTGTTTATTTAAGATACAAATCTTGTTGGAATAATAAGACTGATAAAGAGTACAAAACATATATAAATATTCATTAAGATGGATCTGGATCTGCTGAAATTAGAAGATGCGTATGACATCAACCAATGGAAAGATTTACTTACTAGTACTTTTCTGAGAATATAGCTTCCTTCACCAAACTCAGAATCTACAGTGATTTGCCCACAACTGTTGTGTAATAATATTCAGGAAATGATACAGAAATTGTCTTTGAATATAAATATTCATCAGCATTATGAATATGCTCTTTTGCTTAGTAATGTGAACAAATATATATTTATATACTATTGGCCATTCTGGTTCCTTCTCTGTCAAAACTACTCCTGCCAAATTATTGGAAGAGGCGACTGCAGAAACTAAGAAGTTAATGCAAAAAAGTATGCCTCTGTATTGTGGATGGAAACATGTCTCCTTGTCCCTACTTTAAGACTAAACCTTTACAATAACAACCATTCTGTTAGTTAATAGAAAATGTCATCCGTTCATTACCCCCCAACCAGATTTTTTTTAATTCTTTTAGGATGACAATGTACTGCACATACTGTACTGTACTCTGAACAATATTCGTGAAATTTTACTCTCTATCATGTGTCATTTCTTACTCCCTTCAACATGATGAGCTGTTTTCAGAGTTCATTGATACAAAAATAAATAAAATAAAAAGAGAACTCATTTATATTATCTGAAAAGTCAAACTTGGAAGCAAATGTTCATTAGCTCCTTATTTATGAATTTCCGATGAAAGCTCTTGACTTCAAATGCATTGGAACTTATGGAGTTATACGCCATATGAGAAGCCAGCACCTATGACTCTAAACTCAAGTGTTAATGTTCATTATCGCCATTTACTGGTGGTGTTCGAGACAAGCTTGTTTCATCATCATCAGTATCATTGCCATCATTTATACTGTTGCTTGGATGTGCAGCATTGGGAGAAGATGGAAGATTGTGAATGTTTAGGTGTGATGTTTCAATGCTTTGTCTGTTTGATTTTTCACCACATTCTGCAAAAGCGTGGTGCTCAGGGGAGCCACCATACTGCTGATCTGTTGGAGTCAATGATGAGACATCAATGTTTTCATCTTCATTCTCTTCTTTAATCATAACTGGCTCTTCTTTCACCTCCAAATCATTCATTTCTGTTGACAAATGATCTCCAGTAATGTACTGCCCTTCTTCAGTTGAATGCACCTTTCTGATATGATCAACAACATGACGCTGACGTACAAATGCTTCACCACACTGTGGACAGCGAAAGTGCTGCAAAGTTATGTGTGTGGTGAGACTGTCAACATCAGGGAAATCTTTATGACATACTGGACAGGCATGAGTAGATCCTGGTTTGTTTCCCTCTGACTGATGGTGTTCTTCAGAGACAGTGTTCTTTTCTTCAGAGGTATGCTCTTCACCATTGTGGTTTTCGTGATGTGATCGCATGTGAACATTAAGATGTTTTGCCATCCCAAACCCTTTTCCACATTCATTACAAGTATGAACTTTCTTATTTGTGTTTGATGTATGTCTGTGATGTCGCTGATGTGTCTGTAGACCTAGAATGCTGCTGAATTCTTTGTTACATTCCCAACATTTCAACATGGCTGCTCCTTTAGAGCTGTGACTTTTATTGCTTTTGTGTTTTTGCTGTTTTGATGATTCTTGAATTAATGTCCTGTAGTAATGCATATCTGGATTTGAAGAATCGTATGTTCCATTTGTGTTCAAATGGTGATAGTAGGGACTCTGTAAAAAAAAGAAACATTATTAATATTATTTTGATATGTGGAACGTGTATCAAATGGAATATAGAAATCTTCTTCCAGTCTGTAACTGGAACGATAAGAATTACTGCCACAAGTGTGAGTTCTATCTTTGTTGTGCATTCTGCCTTCCTCTCTACTCACCTGGTAGCCTTCTAATTTCAATTCACTAAATTTAAAACTGAATATTTTCGTGTATGTATGCCACCACTAATATTACTCTTTAGCGCTTCTCGGTTCATATGTTAGTGATTAGAAACAGTATTTGGATTGGTAATTGGATTTATTGAACCTTGCGGGTATAACTACAGATAACTATAATATTTTCACAGCTATACACACTCTATAAAACACAATTACAAACATTATAAGCTTCTGTGCCTTCACCAGGCATTATTAAATGGCTGCTCCTGACAACGTGTACTCCCCTGCTTCTGTGCTCACTTCCTTACTGGCCGGCAACTGTCTCACAGTTGATCATTTACAGTAAAGTCTCACCTTGCTTGCCATATCTCCTCCATCTAACAATGCTGAGGGATTTGCCATAGCAACTGCTTCCTCTTCATCATGGCTGTAGCTGTGGTTGTCCAACTCTGCACGGAAGAAGAAGCGCTGACTGCATCGAGAACAGTCATAGGGTCTTGCATCCAGGCCATGCTCCAGCATGTGTTGATGTAAGCCTTGTGCTGCCGTGAACACAGCACTACACAGGTAGCAGGTGAAGCTGCCACAGCCAGCAAATGTATGCTCTATGAGATGTGTCTGCAGCTTCAGTGGAGTAGTTAATAACCGGCGACAGAGGTGACACTCATGGCTGCTCCCTTCTGTCAGCATATGTGTAGCCACATGCAATTGTATTTCATGCTCTGTCTCACAACTCTTCTGGATTCATAAAGAAATGTTTAGATTAGATATAGACCTGTGAGACTCAACATTTTCAATTCATAATAAAAATGACTATGAGATTCAGATAAAACATGTTCCTCCTCACACTTTGAATGATGACGTGTGTGTGTGTGTATGCACATTTGTATGTACGTTTGCATGCATATGCCTTTTACAACACAGGTAATTTTTAAACTGACAGCTCTATAATTTTAATGCAAAATATAATATGAAGGCAAATATATTACAAAATCCTTTGATTATTTAATATAAATTTATATGAGAACACAAGAAATATTTAAAGTTAACTGATAAGATATGCATGGAAAAATATTTAAATATGTCAATAGTTGATATTTGCATGAACTGGATTGTTTTTATAAAAACGGGAGATATTACACATAAAATATCACCAAGATGGAGTGGATGTCATCCCTATTATTTTCAGTTGGCTAATTTTTCGGCCATGAAATAAGAACACTGCTATTCATACTGAGTTGCATAATAAACAATCACATATTATTTATTATAGTAACATTTGTAACATAAACAATAGCAGGTGAGACAAATCCAATTTAATAAATGTGTCAGTTCTGAATCATAGACATATAGAACTGAAATTAAAGTTAGCAATGCAAGGCGGCTTTTTATTTCCCCAGTAAATTTCCTTTTGTATATAGTGTGTTATGGTATGAACTTCTTACGAATTTTTGTACCATTACACTCTCTGACCATCTTTTATAAATTCTATCTACATGCAACATCATATTCTTAGCAAATATTATTCAATTGGAAAAAAAATTAAATCTGCAAACTTCTAGATTAATTAGGTATTATGTACAACATAAATAATTTTAAAATTCAGTGAAAAGAGAATTAAATTGGCAACTTCAAGAGCAATTAGGTATTACCTACACCATAAATCATTTTACAATATAGACTACTGACAGATATAGAGAAAAATGTGAAGAAATTTGTGTTTTGCATACAGTGTTTATAACTTTCTTTACCTGGCATTTGATGCACTGGTAGGTCTTCCTGTGGACAGACACTAGATGTGCTTCAAGAGCTGTGCTGGTCTCAAACTTCACTTGGCACTCAGAACAATGGAAAATTTGTTCTTGCAACTGCAGTGGATGTCCAAGTTGCTGCTGTTGAGTAGCCTGTTGCTGTTGCTGCTGTGATGGTGATGTTTTGCTATGACAGTGGTAGCAGTCCTTGCAGACATATGAAGTTCCCTGAATGCTTGGTACAACTCCATTACTACCACCCGCAGCAATGAGATTCTGCATTTCAAATTGTTTCAGGCACAGACAGCATTGATACATGGGCTCTGTGACTGTAAGCGCGGCAGAGTTCTTGAGATGGAACCTGGCATGCATCCTGACTTCTATGTCAGATATAAGGGTTTGTCTGCAGACAACACAAGGGGTGGGCAAAACCACTTGCTGCTGCACACTGTTTGTATTCCCTTGAGCACTAGTGTTATTACTGTTTGAACTATGTTGCTGAAGGTGTGTGTAAAACTGGTCCTCACTGACAAGTGTAGCCTTACACAGTGTGCAAATGCTCCCAGATATCACCTTGCAATGTGTCAGCTTATGTTCAGCAAGGACAGCAGCTGAAGGACAGAGTTCATCACATATATTACATTTGTGTTTCCCTGAACCACTGCTACCCTGTGAATGTGTTTTCATGTGGTTTTCCAGTTCAGTGCGTGACTTACAATTCTCACTGCAGTATGCACAATGAAGACTCACAGCACCGTTCTTCCCTGTTGCTGATTTGATATGATGTACCAATTTTCGGTGAGCTGTGAGTTCTGCCTCACTTCCAAAATCACAACGGTCACAGATATCACAGCAGCAGTTATTGTTAGATTGGTCAATCTTCTTGCTACTGTTCTCATTATTATTGCTGTTGCGGCTTGCACTGTTACTGGACCCTGATGAGTTGTTGTTACTGGGGAGTGTTGTTGATGGTGTCACTCCAGATGTTTTACTTTTAGGAGACTTCTGTTGTTGACTCAGATTCTCAGTTGAACTTGTTCCATTGCCATTCAGCACCTACAAATGAACCACTTAAGTTAACATATGCTGATAATGTCTTCTGAGTTGGCGGTTTACAGTAGCTTATAATAAACTATTGCAAAGACAATCATAATCAACCTTATGCAAGGATCTATTAGTTGCTTGAATGGTATTACTACAGGTCCACCATATTAAACACAGGTTTCTTTCATATTCAGTTAAACATCTGTATCAGAATTCTTCATACCAAAGCAATTTCTTCCAAGAATTATCTAATATTATTGCAATTTGAACAGCCAATTTACCACACCATTTACAATAGTATCAAGTTTGATTTGAATTTCACACCACATAGGAGTTATAGTTGACTGCCACAGAATTTGAATTTGTCCAAAAGGATTTCAGCATGAAACATTCACACCAAATTTAAATGAAATACATTAGGTGGTTTGGGAAATACAATAAATGGATCGACAGATTCACTTTATGCAATTTGCATGTGGAATGTGTATAAATCTTTCCCACTTCAACTAATTTCCATATCTTGCTGGGCTCTATACCTGAGAGCTGTGATGTGTCTGCACATGCTTGTCCAGCAGAAACTCCACATGGAAGGCTTCTTGGCACAGTGGACAGTGGAACTGCTTTGAATGTGCTGCCAAATGGAACTGCATTTCAAGCTCAGTGCCAAAGCTGAGGTGACAAAACAGGCAGCGAAAGGGCTGTTGTGTTGGGGTCTTATTGGCTGCCCCAGTGAGCAAAGGAAGTGGAGCATGAGAAGATCGTACATGCAGACCAAAGTCCAGCTCTGAACGAAATACTGCACTCGATGAAGGACACGCAGTACACCTGTACAGCTTGCATTCATTGCTGTGCTTCACTGCAAAGTGAACCTGTAATCCAAACAGAAAGTATGAAATCGTTTTGACTTTTGGTAAGTAAAATATTCAATGTTTTTATTCTTGGGAATTTTCAGTAAAGATTAATCATTGTAACTTACTTGATTGCATGGGAGCGCATGACCGAACGCATATGCTCTCTCTCTCTCTCTCTCTCTTCGGACAAAGGGATGGGTGAAATATGACATAATTCATTTTTTAAGCTACTCTGCTCCTAATCTATCATAAACTTACTTTTGTTAAGATTGTCATTATCATATTGCATATTTTTACTACATAACATACCTGTATTGCAACTTTGGTGTCAAACATTTCCTTGCATAGAGAGCAGCGATAGAGGTGATGAGCATGGATGTCCATCAGATGTTTCTGCAACTCATCAGGTTTAGGGAAAAGTTTGAGGCAACTCTGACAGCCATACTCTGTGGCAGTGGCCATGAAATGTGTGGCAACATGCTGTTCGAAAGCTTGATGATCATCTGCTCCAGAGAACTTAGCACCACAGTGTGGGCATGCAAGAGCCCCTGAAGAAGCTGGGCTCTTGGAACTGCTTACTCGGCTATCTTGGCTTGATAACATCCCCATGATGTCACTTCCACCTCCTAGCAATCCTCGCAGCCCACCTGCCTCCTCTAAGTGAGATTTCAGATGCGTCCGGAATGATTCAAAGTCAGGCAGAGCAGCACTGCACTGATTGCAGAGTAGAGTTCCTGGATGTTCATACTGATTCACCTGTTTAAAAATGATAATGCAAAGAAACATAATTCTAAATTAGATAAATATAAATAGTTTCCACAAGCTTAGAAAACGCATTAGAACCCAAAATGCAAAATATTTTGGTGAGATCAATCTGTAAAGTGATGTCTGGGTTTTATACCAGGAATTTAGGGTTTCCTCATTATCGTCATATCCACGCCAGTTCTGAAGTCCCTATACAACTTCCTACAAGAAGCATATCCAAGGTTACTTATAGAGGAATAGTGGCTAGAACATAGAAATCACCTCCATCAACTGCTGAACTCCAGTAGTATGTGGAACTTTAATTCATTGTTCCCTACACCGCATTCACAAGGCTAAAGATGAATTGACCTAGTGCCAGACACAAAGATATTAAATTAGATGCTTTAAATATATACAGGTTTCATATGTATAATTGCAAACATTAAGCCCTACCATACTACTTGGTGCAGAAGTTGGGGTATCTGGCATGGTGACTGTTGGTGCTGCTGAATTTTCCACTGAGGCTTTATGTCTCTTTGGTGGTGATCTCTCTTCATGGTGCTGTGAATGTCGATGTGCCTTCTTGCTGAGATCCGTAGGTTTTAGTTGTTCGGGGGCTGAAGAAGATGGAATCATGAGTCGCCCAGTTGCACTGCTAGATGCATGTAAGAGGACATAGTGTTCAGCAAACAGAGCAGCTGATGGAAATGATAGAGAGCACTGTACACAAAACAGACCAGCGGTACTTCCAGCTGCTTCATTATGATGATCCTTGCTTCCAATCCCCATGTTGTTTGGACTCATCAGGCCATGCACAGCAAGAGCATGCTTCTGGAGACCCTGGATGGTACCAAACCTCATTGTGCACAGGTCGCAGGAATAAGGCATGAGAGTTGTTGAAGTCACAGTGTGGTTATTGCTGGCGCTGTTCCCGCCTCCATTTGGTGATGTGAGCAGACGGTGAGGTGTTAGGCTGGGACTTGGACTTGCCTGATGCTGTGACAGACTGGTGAAGTCTCGTAGTTCACCATTCAGTATGGAACCTATCCAGAATAACCAAGAGTAAAGAAGTGTAAAATACAAGTGTTCCCAAATTGATGCATTGGTAACCTGTCTCACTTTACTTAGGAGGTACATGGATCAATTCCTGCAAATGATTTATCATCATTTTAAAACATATGGTTCAATTACATGTGAGATCTTTGCACGCAGGATAATACAATGAAATGCCAGCTGTGACCAGCTGAACTTGGGCATTTAAGTATTCCACAGGGTCATAATCTTCACATAAAATTAATGTTGGCACTATTAAGTTTGTTGTACTAATAACCTGCCATTCTGTGGTAGACTTACTTTACAAATTGAGAGACACTTCACTTTTCCACAGAATCCCTCACAATATCTATATTCTACTCATTAAGTAGTTGCCAGAATTCTCTTATAAACTGGGGTTTTACTTGTGGGAGATAGCTGGCATTTTACAATGATCGAAATAATCATTATTGGGTGTGTTATACCTTTATCCATTAATTTTGAATTAACATAAAATGAGCAGAGCATAGTGTTGATTAAATACAGTACTTAGATAGTGTTATCTGCGGACAAGTTGGTCAGCAGCTTATGAATTTATAAGATGTTAGAATTATATAATTATTTTAACCAAGTCAGATTTTAAAACTGTAATGTATAAGGACCCAAAGAGAGATGAAGTGACAGGAGGTTGGAGAAAACTGCATAATGAGGAGCTTCATAACTTGTACTCTTCTCTAAGTATAATTAGAATGATCAAGTCAAGGAGGATGAGGTTGGCAGGCCATGTAGCATGAATGGGGGAGACGAGGAATGCGTGTAGGATATTGGTGGGAAAGCCAGAAGGAAAGACGTAGGTGGGTGGACAATATTAGAATGGATCTTAGAGAGATAGAATGGGATGGTATGGATTGGATAGATCTGGCTCAGGATAGGGAGCAGTAGAGGGCTCTTGTGAACATGATAATGAACCTTCTGGTTCCATAAAATGCTGGGAAATTCTTGAGTAGCTGCAGAATTGGCGGCTCCCCCAGAAGGGCTCAGCTCCATGAATAAGTAAGCAAGTAAATGTATAAGGACATGAATTTGAAAAATTTAATTTCTCTATTCCTGACAGTTTAAAAAAACTGTGGAACTCAGATATTAATATTTTATTTACGAAAGTCTTCATGCTATAAACAAGTTTTAACTAATGATAAATAGCCCATTAATTTATTATCATGCTAGTTATGGTTGTTTACCATCACCCAATGCAACAGAGTTATTCTTTCCAGTATCTCTATATTTTGCAAGAGGTACATCTGTTAGAGACCGCCTCTGTGGTCTAGTGGTCAGAGTTCCTGGCTACAGATCCAGACGTCCGGGTTCGATTCCCGGCGCTACCAGATTTTCTGAGAAGTAATGGATCTGGAACGGCGTCCACTCAGCCTCGTGAGGATAATTGAGGAGCTATTTTAAGGAAACCAAAATTAACGGCCGTGGGGATTCGTTGTGCTGACCACGCGAAACTCTCTCTATCCGCTAAAGTTGGTACTAACTTCGCCGACAAGTGGAGGTCGGTCAGTCGGTCTGTCGGTCGGTCGGTATAGTTCGCTTGCGGACTAAAATCACGGAGTTTTTTTACATCTGTTAGAAAATTATGTTCAGCTACAGTGAATGGCATGTGCAAAGTTATGATATTTATTTTTATGTTGACATTATTTATAACAACACAAATTATAATTTAAAATTCTCCCAAAAATGTATGGCTTCCCACTTTAAAACACAATTACCAATCCCGACATTCATGGTTTACAAAAAAATTGCACAGTGCAATTTAATGTATGGCAATAATTTGGATAATATGAGTATGTACTGCTAGCTTCAGGGATACTTACCGTGCATAGCCTGGACGTGCAACTGCAGGGCTTCCATAGTGGTGAAGCTATCCTTAGTGCAGTAGATGCAAGCCAGTTTTGGAGCTGGGAATGATAAGGTTCGAGATGGCGACCTTGCCAAAGGGGAATCACCAAGCATGAGACCCCCTAGCAGCCCTCTACTGATGGGTCCCAGGGGCGAACCACCTGTCTCTACATTGTGCTGCGTTACCATGTGACCCTGGAAACCACAATATCTGGATTTAGTGTGCCCGTAAATTTCAATGAGAAATAAGAAATGAATATATTATAATTAGAATGTAGTCAAATTAGTCTTATTCCACTAAAATTATTTAAGTTATCGTGGTTATATGATAAGCTGATTACCACTGATAATATAATGAAGTTTAATGTAATAGTTTTGATTTTTTAATTCGGTGAAGGTGTATGTAGATGTGCCCTTATACTAACAGTGTAGGTGAAATTTCATTGTATGACTGCGGAGTTTGAAAATGGTTCATGAAAACACGCATCTGTACATCGACTCATGAATCAACTGCACTGATACCTTGGCAGTCAAATTTTCAATAACTAGATATTCTTATAAATTGAGTTCTTATATTTCGGAATTTTGGTGTTGAATCCATAATTGTCCTCCAGATACAGTGGCAAGTTAGCCCAAATACATATATACTGGCATTCCACAGACCCTCAGATAAGAACAAGAGTCCACAGATATGTTACCGTACACCTACCGAAGTAATGTTTGGCAAGAAACCTTTGTTACTTTGGTAATATTTTCGATAATTATAAAATTGGTAAAGTCTTGAAAGCTTTAAAAATATATCATACAACAGAGGCAACACAGCGAAATTTTCTATATTAAAGTTATTTCCTTTAAGTGTTTATGAATGTATGTATTAGAACACGTTCTTTAGAATTACATTACTGTTTGCCATAGTTAATCCACTGCACAAGATATACTTCCATTTCGCAAGGGGTTGTAACTACTGCTAGAAAGGACACCATGACTGCTTAGTCACAAATAAAATGGAGTCTGAGCGAGAAGCATCTGAAAAAGAAAAGGAGAGGGTGGCCTACTGGTTTAGCAGTAGATGAAACTCATGCTTTCTGTGTAACCCCTAAAGAGATTTGTATCCATACCTCACCCCACAGCCGTGTTGGATGGGCAACTTCTTCAGCTCTTGAGTAAAGCGGGTTTCTCTCATGGAGCTGATAAGGCGCTGTACATGGCTGCCAAACGGAAACACCGCACGAAAGCGGGAAGTATGAAAATATTACGAGAGCATGGCTACATTCTGGAAAGGAACAGCTGGCGAAGAGTGACCGTAATTTAAGTGGGTCCTCCGTCACAACGGCATGGCGCATGTTATTTTGAGGACGGAGGAAACGGCTTTCAGAAATGGAGGGCAGCTACGAATATACTGAATTGGGAGTCCTGGACAGCCGACAAGGGGTGACCGTCCCGCTTTGGGATTGGACTTGTGCTAACCTCGGCAAAATAAACCAAACTCTTATGAAATGTAACATACGTCGTCGTCATTTGATTTGTCTCATTCTGGTCCGTCACACTATTAATTACAGAGTGGATAATGTTCAGTCCAGTGTGACATACAAGTTTACAACACTTCAGTCCTCATTCACCTTACATGTTTCGATTCAAAAGAATCATCCTCAGAGGCGCACCACTACGATAAGGATACACTGTCACATAAGATATTTTTTAACAATATGCACTTAAGCTATGAATAATGCTCACTATATAAATTTTGTTATTATCGCGGTTGTTTGTCTTAGGCACTCACAATGACGCTTCTTGAAGTGTAGATTTACTTATGATGATGTTTCTCTTAAGTGTATTTCCTGGTTATTCTGACTGGGGTTTTCCACTGAACGCACGTCCTCGTGTTTTGAAGAATTTTATTTGGAACGACAAAAGCAACGGAAAATGGGCAGGAGATCTGATACATGGAACGTAAGGCGTATGCATAGGGCTAGTTCACTGATAATATTAGCAACAGAAACAGCCAAGTGTAAGTTGGATTTGGGGGGATTCCGAGATGTCAGATGGGACGAGGGTGGAACTGAACTGGCGGGTTCTAACACTCAGTTCAGAATCTTTTATCATTTCTCTTGTTATCTAAACATGTAAGAGATTAATATATACAATAGTATAATTTTGTCTGTAGTTTTGTATGAGCGTGGAACTTGGTCTCTCACATTAAAGGACGAACATAAACTGAGGGTGTGCGAGACTAAGGTGCGAAACAGATCACTGGGGCACAGGAGGTGGGCAATAATATGAGGTTGGAGAAAAATACACAACGAAGAATTTCATAATTTGTGACTCTTGTCAAATATTGCTATAATGCTCAACTTAAGGGGGGATGAAATGGGCAGGACATGTAACATATGTATGAAAAAAGAGAAGTACATACGAATTTTTGGCAGGATAGCCTGAAGGAAATAGACTACTAGGAAGATCTACACATAGATGGTAGGACATTGGTATGACTCTCGAAGAAATAGTATGGGAGGGTGAGGATTTAATTTATATCTCTCAGGCTAGGGACCAACAGAGGGACTGTTGTGAACAAGGTAATGAACTTTCGGTTTCAATGAACTGCTGAAAATTTCGTAAGTGGCCGAGTCACTATTGGATTCTCAAGAAGGATACAGCTCCTGAAGTCGGCTGTTTGTTTTCGAAGACTGGTGATACAAGTCAGTATTCAGCCTTACAATATTACATTAATCATTGTCTATTGTGTATATGCTACTGGATACACGTGGAAATCTTGAATTGGCTCTGCTGCCTTCTGCAAGCAATTTGAAATAATTATACTAACAGATTTGTTTTGCCTTATATATTTTAAGGTAAGTACTGAACACAGGGATCAAACCCGAGACCTACTGAATATTAGGCTAGAACGAGTACGCTAACCATTAGACGAACGGCGACCCAGAATTCTATCTATCTATCTATCTATCTATCCATCCATGTTGCTCCCAAATGGAGCATAGGGCATCCGTGAAACGCTTTTCTCACTTCAGTTTCTTAATCTTAGACAGTCGGTAGGACTCCTGTGACGGGGGATCAGCTCGTCGCAAGGCAGCTATCTACACGCAGACATAGAATAAACGAGAAAAATTCGAACCCACGATCCCAGAGTTCGAGAGGGTGAAGACATTTCATGCCTTAGACCGAGCGGCCACTGTGGTCGACTTGCCCAGAATTGGTTGTTGTTGTTGTTGTTGTTGTTGTTGCTGTTATTGTTTTGCTTACGTCACTCATGAGATTATTTCCTGCCGCGTAATACATAAAGCCTTATGGAGATCACACATGTTTTTCTTTTGGCTGGTGGTTTCTTCCGCTGGTCCGAAGAATTCACATCCTCTCTGTTTCTTAGTGGTACGGTTTTCATCTTTACGAATGTTTCCTGCTTTACCTCATTGTATTCCGTGGTCATCATATTTAGATTTATTTCCGTAAAAGAAACCAGTTCTTTCTCTTCTCTTCACTACATAACAAACCCACACTCCGGCTACGGGGTCAGCCTTGTGCACGGCCCCACACAAGTGGTTCCATATTGGATAATTCTCTGCTTTGAATTTTATTTAAAATTTATGTTCTATAATATTAAAAAATGCCGTTTTGACATATTTGTCAGTTATCAGAAAAATCCTTTACTTTGTATAGATTGCATTTCAAGTAAAATGTTCGTTCAGATTTAATTATTGAAATGGAATTCTTACTGTGTGAAACGGTGACAGCATACAAAGGTGTCATTGCGTTAGGAAGTGTATGTTAAGTTACTATTTTAAATCGTCAAGATCATGTAAATTTTATGTTGAACTAAGTTTCATTGCGTATTCACCGAGGTCCGCCTTGATTTGCTGTGATCACGATATACGTGTATGTCGTTCACACAGTGGCTGTTTTCTACAATTCTGCACTATGTTTAAAAAGGATACCTTCTAAATACTTCTGAAAAGATCTCCTTAGGCCTCAAAGACTAATTATTAATGGTATCACTTTCACTCTCAGCTGAGGTTAAGAATTGTGGAGCTATACCTCCAATCCCCATACGTGCTCATGCCGTGTTAATTAATTAATTAAGATCAGCGATAACTTTACCTTTACCTTATCACTCTCAATTCCAGATTCCATGTATGTTGAAAGCTTACTTAAGCAGTTCATCTTTATTATGATTATTATTATTATTATTATTATTATTATTTTAATTATAAAATTGCAACATTCACCCCGTACACCTCAATGGTAGGTGCTTCGACGTTTAAGTTTTAGTGCAGAAATACAAAAAAAGAAAGAAAGGAGATGGTAACTTGCAAACGAGGAACTTACTCCTGCTTCTTAAACAGCACGATAAGCTAGTGGATTTAGGATTTGTCTGTGGTGGGTACTTTTAAGAAAACAACCCCAGCGATTAGATTTAGCTCCTAAAGCTTCTTGAGAAGCAATTACCTGAAAAAAGGAGACAGCTGCAGACTTCTGGGATATACTCTTCTCATCCTGTGTCTCCTGTCCACTGGTTCGAGACTTATGTACACCGATCCGCAAATTTTACTTTGTGTTCTATTTACAACTGCGAAAATGATCACTTTTCTCTATTTGTTTCTCATTTCCTTTCTGTTCCTTTTACTGGTAACTAGTTTGTGTTGAAANGCCGGGAAAGCCTCAAATCTTAGAAAGAGGGCATGAACTTTTGGAACCCTCAGAAATGGCGAGAGAAGCTGTATAAAAAAAAACTCAGATACTTGGAACGCCGATATATCAGGCAATTAAAATGATTTCATTTGTTCCAATGCATATATTTCAATCGCATATGTTCAATGTAGGGGATGACAGTCTTCGTTCTCAATACCATATTTGGGCGCCAACTCTTATGTCGGTGATATATGTTCAGATGTCATAGTAACCACCAGACTGCAGACTATTAGTTATGTCAGCAGCACTATGGCCCTGGCGTCGACTCAGCCTCTAACATAAATGATTACATGAACATTCCTGGGGGTAAAAAGCGGCGGGCGCGAAAGACTTAGAGCCTCGCCGCCATCTGTGAGCCGACTGTATATAGAATGTGGGAGCCTCGACGTCTCACAATCAATGGGCCTCGACGGCCTATTACAGGCAAACATTTTCATCTATTTTAATTCTTATTCTGAACAACGTGAGGCCGACAGGTCACCTGTCCGTGAATGAGAGAAGTTGGGGAACAATGTTGCGGTCAGGGCAGGACCTGTAAAAAGCGTGACCTCACCTGAAGTTCCTCTGGCTTCCGGAATGTTTCGCCACACTGCAAGCAGCGGAAGGAAGGACAGGCAGCTCCGGGACTAGGCGTATTGTTGCTGCTAGCGCGGCTGCTGTTGCTGTTGTTATGGCCATTCTGTTGCTGCTGATGTTGCTGGTCTTTCTTGTGGTTCTGCATGTGCGAGGTAAGGGCTGCTGCTGTGTTGTAGCCCCTGTTACACACTGTACACTGGAATGGCTTCTGGTTGTCGTGCGTCTTCATGTGAATCTTCAGGTGATCACTGCAATAAACAATGTGAATATCCGGAAGCCTTAGCGAACATAGATATCCTTCTGTTCTCTGCAGCCAGAACATTCGATGTTCCAGTTACCTGCCAATTGCTGGTCCCTGTCTCTTTAGTCAGGCATCAAAACAAAAGTGTACACTCAGTCATCAGAGGAATTTCAGAGAGGCGCATCGAGCAATTAGAAAATGTTCTTCAGAAAACGAAATTAATTGGATGTTTTCAATATGGAACGCACCGCGAACTGGAAATGAATTGTAGATTTAACTACAAATTTGTTACTTGGTCTGAAATTTGTTCCTCTTCATTGAAATCAGTGCACATCCTCACACCTCATTTCGTGTATATACATACATATTATCCTCCTATCCAACCTAGGTACACAAAGTAATTGCTTCCCTTCAGGTTTTCTAGTAAAATTCTATACTTATTTTTCATTTCTCCTGTGAGTTCTACAATTCTTACTTATCTAATACTCTTTGATTTGATCGCCCTAGAATATCAGGTGAAAAGCTCAAATGAAGACGCTCCTCGTGGAATTTCTGAACCCTCCTTTATAGTTTATCTCTTAAATACTCAGAAGTCTGCTCTCAAAAGTTTCCAATCCATACTCTTCCCTTTTTTTTATTGCTAATGGGGTGGGACTAAGTCCCTTGTACTGCGGCCACTTCTGGCCTATTGTACCACACCAAGATTATAGGTGAGGGTGATTGTGGAGCAATTGGTGGAATGAAGATTGGCAGGGGAAACCGAAGTACTCGGAGAAAACCTGCCCCAGTGCCACTTTGTCCACCACAAATCCTACTTGACCAGACCCGGGATCGAACCGGGCCGCCGCTTGAGCTATGGCGCGGTGCCATATCCTTCCCTCAGTAAAAATATTGTGTTTCTGGACATTATCCATAGTCCTGTGTTAGTCTAAAAGCACTGTCCTTTTTATTTTTCAAAACACAACGTTTCGGAGGCTGGATACTGTCTCCGTCTTCAGGTAAAACCTACTCAGTTGGACCCAATCGACAGAGCTAGTCCCTGTCTACGGAGAGAGAGCACATATTGATGAAGACATGACGATGGTTAATGTCCAGAAACATAATAGTTGTACTAATGTACACTCGTCACAAAGTTTTAGGGCTTATTCTTCTCTTAGGGCGAGAAACCAAGTTCCAAACCAAAATAAAACAGCGAGTAAAATTAAATTTTGCACATATTAAGGGTTATATTTTTAGGTAGGAAAAGGGGAAGGGGGGCAAACGTTCCTAACTACTACTGGGTAGCAAGCATTCCCCGAATTTATTATGTTCTTTATTTTCCTCTTTAAAAGAAATTTAAATATATTTTCTTTCGAAATTATAAATAATAATACAGCGTCTGTGAAAAATGTAAATTTTTCTCTAATTCCACATCATTAATTTATTAGTACTCTTGACATCTGTATGTGTTCAGGAGAATGTACTGGCACTGATCTTTCGTACTGTCTTGAAATTAGATGAAAACCATAAAATAATATTTATTTATTGTGTTTCTTGATCAAAATTTAAATCCGCGTTACGTTCATCACGAATGCGGTGAGATGTAGCAGTGGAATGCAATGTTATACACATGTAATACCCCGTCCCTCGGGATTTTTCTTAGGTTCGCTGACGACAGCAAGTCAACTGCTTGACAGTAATAGGAAACCATTAGTTTCCTGGAGAAGGCTTCAAAGCCGACATCCTGAAACGCAATATGAAATACATATGAGGGGCTGGGGCATTTATTGTTCGTATTTATTTTTGGTAGCGTTGGAGTGACCAGGCAACGTCCTGCTAAAACCACTTAAGACACAACTCGGAATGTTTCGAGTGTGTTTGGTGCCCCCTTCTGTGATTTATGTAGCTGGCCGACCACGGTAAACTTAGTTTAATAAATACTAAGAAACAAACGATCTCCGTGTTCTGTTGTCCGCAAGCGAACTATACCGACCGAGCGACCGCCGCTTGTAGGCGAAGTTAGTGCCAACTTTAGCGGAGAGAGGGTGTCACGTGGTCAGCGCAACGGATCTCCACGGCCGTTAATTTTGGTTTTCTAGACCGGAGCCGCTATTTCCTTGAAATATCTCCTGAATTATCCTCACAAGTCTGAGTGAACTCCGTTTCAGACCCACTACTTCTCAGGAAATCTGGTAGCGCCGGGAATCGAACCCGGATCTCTGGATCTATAGCCAGAAACTATGACCACTAGACCACAGAGGCAGTCGTTTAATAAACAAGTTCTTCAATAAATAACCGTTCAATATTAAATCCGGGTTCCTGCAGCGTTTTTCCGAGAATAGACTTCCGTCCACATAATTGAACCTGAATGTCTCATGCTGCCGGGTCCCTAGTTTATCGCCACCTTTACGAATTCCATCTTTATCCAGGGACCTGAAGCAATTCAGGTGGCGCCCAGTAAATCCATCATTAAAGAAAGGGTGAAAGCTGAAGGTGCGGTATCAATACATCTGTGGTTTCGGAGTGACTTTTTGAGGCTAGGTTTGCCATCTTCTGGAAAACGGACATGAGAGCTGAAATGCTGTGACGAAGATGCTGAACTACGCAACATCTCACTTAAACTTTCAGCTAACCTTTTTGTCTTAGATAGAATAATTCTTGTTAAACCGGAGTTAATATTTTTAATTAGAGACACAATTTTCGCCTTTAGCTTTATCATCTCGTTAAGGGGCGACAGCAGAACATGACGCACCGAAAGTGTAACACTGCATAACATGCAGGAGGGCGCAAGGATATTCCTACATTCTTTAAACGGGCAACTGTCCTCAAGGAGTGGGCTAATTGCCCTAGATAAATAAACGCTAGCACTGAATATGTTCGGAACGATAGCTTCCTTATTAAACGACTAACAGCATGATATCCATGGGCCACCTGCTCACTGAGGCACCCTGCTAGTCTGACTTTATATACACATCTATACATATACATAACTAAAAGGAGTGGAGGTTTTTGCTACCTTGTGTCAAGCCTCAGCTTGGAGACACGGAACAAATTGCTCACTGTGTCACGAACATTAGTCACACGTTGTTACTCCCTTCTTTTGTGTTCATCTGTTTGTCTCTTCTTTCGTCCTTCTTTCTGCAGATCCTTACACCTAGAGTCTCCACTTCGCTTGTACTTACCGCGAGTGTTGGCGTCTTTTTAATATTTCATTTCATTTTGGGTATACGTGACAGCAACCATCTGCTATCTGACAGTAACGACAGAGATGTACATCGCCTGTCATTAGATTTGATGCTGAGGGAGCCAATCGAATAATTTCGACAACTCACCTACCTACAGTTTCATTATCATGTAACAAGGAAAGTGATAAACACAAAGATAGACAGATAATAGAGTTTCTCTTAGAGAAACAATCCCAGCTATGATAAAATAAAATTATATCTGCATATACAGTTCTTTATGCTTTCTTTACATAAAGAATGCCATCTTCTGGGATGTGGCGCCGTGCAGATTTTATGTGAACTGATGTTTCAGAGGAATACATATATCGCTTTCATCTTAAAGATTGAAAATTCTTCGAGCGAGGAGCCAGCGTGGGCAGGTGGCCGCAGTCTGTCGTCTGTCGTCTACAGCCACCTGCTCACGGTGGTTCCTCGCTCCGGGATTTTTCTACTCTGAAGATGGAGGCGATACGTTCCTCCGAAACGTCGCTTCACACAAGATCTACACGGCGCCACATTCCAGAAGAAGGCATTCTTCACAGTCACCGCCGTGAAAACCTTAAATTTTACATTTCATTATATAGTTTAACTCTGCATTCTTAAAGCTGTTTCATGCTTAACGACACTGCACTTAAGTCTGCTACGATATAACCAAAGAAGGCTAATGCTTATTACGAGCATTATCGTGATTATGATTAATTTTTATAAAAAACGGGGTTTATAATTTCATATCTCAATAAATTTCCTGAGCTAGCAAATTGTTTTATTTTTCTGAAAAAAAAAATCAAAATATAGAAGTTTATCGACAAAAATTCCTGGTACTCATTTCTGTCAGAGGCTGAGTAAACCCCAGGGCCTAGTGCGGCTGGAAGGATTAGGTCAACTGAAAAAAAATCCGATGATCTCATCGGGACTTGAACCCGAGACCTTCCTGCTTGTAGCTTAGCCCCCCAACTAACTACGCTACCGCGTGCCCATATATTTATTGTTACTTTATTTAACAAAAAAATGTAATTGTTCAATGTACATGGCGTCCACTGAGATAATGATTAGTGGACAATGAAATGGGAAAGATGTGAAAGGAAGTGGTCGTGGCCTCATTTGGGGCAGTATCCCAGCATTTGCCTGAACAGACTGAGGGATTATGTCAGTCAGGAAGTCGGTTTGAATTCGGAACCCGGAATACGAAGAAGTGCTATCCACTCGGCTGTGACGTACAGGAAATATTTCAGATGTGGACTTTTTCATCGCCAGATTCATAATTCCCTTATTATTTCCCCTCTTGCTGCATGTACGTAACAGGCGAAAAAATGCTGCATTGTTCTTCAATTTATCACTTCATTCTCAAAGGAATTTTTACTCGGTTTGTGTTTATATATCTGTTGTTATATGTATATGTATAAGAATAAACTGCATTGCTGCAAGATCCTTGCCATGCTCTCACATCCCACTCATCCGTTAGGAAGTGCCATGTTAACCTACTTAAGCCAAGTTTTCCCTGAACCTCGCCACGCAGGTGAGCAGTAAGCAGTGACCATAGGTCATGCACGACCCGAAGGAATATGGCTAAATAAAGCCTATTGGGAACGCGATGGTGGTAGTGAATTGTCGCGTAAGGACGGAAGAAAGACGCTCTCTTTGCTATCCATGTCTTAGCCTGGAGTCCGAGATTCAGATGTCAAGCACGGGAAGGTAATATCGATAAACGCAAATATTTCATAATACAGGCAGGAACCTGTCAATATTTCGTTCTCGTTGTGAGCCGGGATAGCTCAGTCGGTATAGCGACTGGCTACGGGCTGGA